GCATGTGAAATCTGGAAATAAAAAAGACTGCAGAATCGATGTCTTTGAATTGTCCTGTTATTGAAGAGTTAGGACTAAAATGTCCAATAATAGTAGTTAGGTACAAGGCAGTTCTGGTTTGATGGCAAGATAGGTCTTCATGGAGGAATTTTAAACTCCTTAATTCAAGGATTTTCAAACGTGAATAACAGAAACAAAACCAATAAACCACTATCACTCAGCTTCAACAATGAATTGTTTTCCTTTTCATTCATTTTCCCTAGTTGGTTGTTTTTATTCTCTTTACAGGGAAAAATGTTGCTTTTGTGAAATGTTGATAAATTTATTCCAACTCATATCAAAATACTGCCAGATCTTATGCCATCTTCATACTCACTGCTTAAACCCATTCTTGCAGTCACTGTAACAATCCATCTTCATGAAATCTTCCTCTTTTTTGTTCTATATTTTTCTGCATGATGTCCTTCGCCAGGGGCTAGCCCTTCCTGCTGACATGTTCACAAGAAAAACGTGTATCAAAATGCAAAAATGTAAAATGTAATTCTAAAAAATGAATACTCCCTTACAGTACACGTCCCTATTACTATACATAGGAGTTCTATCTCCTAGAAGTTTCCAGGTCAATCAGATTCCTTTCCAGCCCCACAGAAGCAAACACTGTTCAGACTGATTTTTCAAATTAGATTAGTTTAACCTGTGTGGACAAATTATATCTAATATTGAAAAGAACTGAAATCCCACAACACTTAATCGTGCTTGGGAAAACCCTGTATTTAGACTGTGCAAACAGTGCAAAAGAACACTACGTGGTTTAAAATTAGAAAAGGTGTGCAGGGTTGTAAACTTTCTTTATACCTATTTAATCTGTATGCTAAGTAAATTATTCAAGAAATTGAATTCTATGAAGAAGAATGTGGCATCAGGGTCAGAGGAAAACTAATCTATAATCTTTGTTATGAAGATGACACAAACTTGCTTGCTGAACGTGAAGAGGACTTGAAGCACTTGCTGCAGGAAGTTAAACACTGAAGCCTTCAATCTGTATTGCATCTCAATGTAAAGAAAACAGAAATTTTCACCACTGGACTGATAAACAACATCATGACAGATGGAGGGGGGGGAAATGAAACTATCTATGTCATCATCTTACATGAATTCACAATCGACACCCTTTGTACCAGCAATCAGGAGATCAGAAGAAATATTGCACTGGAAAAGTCTGTAATCAGAGACTTCTAGAAATTCTTGAGGAGCAATGATGTCAGGTTGAGGATTAAGATGTGCTTGACTCAGGCCATGCCATGGTCTTTTCAGTCGCTTGTTATGCATCTGAGAGCTGGACCATGAATACGGATGACAGAAAAATGGATGCATTTGAACTGTGGTGCTGGAGAAGAGTACTGAATTGAATATCCTGTGGACTGCCAAAAAAAAACAAACCCAAAAGAATACATCTTAGAGAATGTGTACCCAAACTGCTCCTTGGAGACAAAGATGATAAGGCTTTGTTTCACATACTTTGGGTGAATTGCTTGCAAAGGGACTTCATACTTGGAAAAACAGAGGGAAGAGGAAGGAGATGAAGACCCTCAGCCAGGTGAACTGACCCAGTGACTGCAGCAATGGACTTGAAAGATTGGTAAGATAACACAAAATAGGCAGGGTTCAGATCTGAACTCCATAACACCTAACAACAACAATAAAAGATATTTATATGTGTGGAATCACATAGTATTCTTTGTAGATTGTCTCATTCAATGTTATGCTTGTGAGATTCATTCACATTGTTATATTTATCTGTAGTTTCTTTTCATAGTGGTTGGTTATGTCAGTGAATGCATATACTACAAATTACTCATTCATGTGTTGATGACACTTGAGGTATATAGAGATGGATGGAAAGTTTGTGAATAAGACTGTTGGAAACATTTTTATACAAGTCTTTATTTATTCTTTATTTACAGAACAATTTCACTGATTTCACATGCAAGCAAGATTTTACTGAAGATTATCCAAAAACAACTGGAACAGCACATCAACAGAGAACTACCAGA